CTAGGTCCCTTCCGACCCTAAATCTATGAAACTGTGAAACCACCTCCAAGCCCTGGTATTAGTGCCACTTTGGTGTGCAGAGGAGAAGGGATGCTTGCAAAAGAGGTCGTCTAGGGAAGGCCATACATCTTAGCAAGACAGTGGGCATGACCCCCTGAGCCAGTCAGGACCTCCACAATATATTTCAGTTAAATTGAAAGTATGTACTTTTACACAGAATGCAATGTTACTTTCCTGCATGCTTATGCAGTCTTTAGAGTAATAGAAATTTGTTCCAAGAAATGGGTTTTCCTTTCAAAACAAAGAAAATAGTAGTGCAACATTTGAAAAATCCTGTATACCCTATCAACCCAAACCATAGTGAGTATGCTATGTTTTCACTTCGTGCTGGAAGTAGGAAGTGAAGAACTTCTGCAGGGACTATTAAGTCACTTCACCACAGAATAAAGCTGAATAGCCTCTTCTATGGAAGCAAATTTCATAATGGCAGAAGTGGCTACAGCCCACAGTGTAAAACAGAAGATGTTCCCTGCCCTTAGGTGCAAAAGGCAATATAGACCAAACCAAAATAAGGGCCACTGCTCCTCAGTAGGTATGAGAGACAAAAAAGCTAGCACAGCCTTAAGGAAAAAAAAAACACTAGCTTCTCTGTTTTCCTCTGTTTTGATTGATTGCTTTGCAAACCTTGGCATTTGTTAAATTAATAGAACAGGTGGTTAGAACAAAGAGTCTTGCTGTTCAATGGTGCAGAAAGATGAGAAGGAGGAGCAGCATTTTCCAAAGTATTAACTCTTAAAGAATAAAACATAGTTTGCACTGAGGGACCTTTCTGATACTCTGTGGGCATATCTATATGAGACACGAACTGCGCCGTAGCCTAATGACACTGCACAGTAGCATGCCCAGCAAAAACCATGTTAATATGCTACTGCGCAGTAGTATTAGCCTACTGCACAGTAAGTGTCACTAAAAACTTATGCACTGGCACTACTGCACAGTAGTGCAAGTTACTGTGCATTGATTTAGTACTTGGTTATCCAAGTACTAAACTTCATGCACAGTAACTATGGTGCATTAATGAACGTGTAGACGAGCCCTGTATTGCATTGAGGAATATGTAAAATGTGTCCCTCACACAGGAGGAAGTAGTAAAGAGAAAAGCACTGTGTTTTTTTTGTTTGTTTGTTTCCCTCTGATGGGGATGAATATAGGTCTGCAGTTGCCCAGGCCACTGCTTGGCTGGAGCAGACAGCTTGGGCTAAGGCTAGCCCACCCACTCTGCAAGTGGGAGTTTGCAGGGGTGGTGCAAAGCATCCTAGGATGCCCAGAGACTTTGAGTTAATTTGAATCTGGAGGGGATCTGGGATAGAAGTTCACGAAACCAATTTAACCTAAATCAGTTAAGTTTGATACTACATCCATTCCAGTTTATCTTAAACTGATTTCAGCCATTTTGAAAGTGTGCACTGAACTTCTGTTGTGTTACAGATTTGAACCAGTATCTGATCATACTGATTATACTATTCTATGTGTAATTTATGTCCAGAGCTGAATAGCTAAGTAGATAGTTCATACCTAAGGCCTGAAAACTAAACATTTCTCTACTTCTGTCACCCAAGGGGCTATGTCTAGCTATCATTCTCAGTGTGTGTTTCTCAGAATGGGACTCATACAAAATAAAGAAACAATCTCTGCTTACTTGTAAAAATATGGAGTAGGTAGAACCCCTGCACCTATCTTATCCAATAATTTAGTGGTTAGAGCCCTTACTAAAGATGTAAGACCACTAGATTAATTCTCCTTCATGGACATGTAAGTGGATTCAAACCCACTTCTCCCATATCCAAAGAGCATGCCCAGACCACAAGAACAGAAGCTATTCAATTATCACCTCTTTCTCAACCAAGACTGTTCAAGCTGTGCTGTTGTGCAGAAAAGAATTTGTAGGAGACCAGGGTGTAGGTAGTAGGGCTATGCCTTGAGTTGTGAAGGTTCGAGGGAACAGTGTTTGTATCAAATTTCATTTTGAGTCAAAACAGCTGTTCTGTTCCATTGCATCAAAACATAAAGGCTGTTTTGATGCCATTTTGAATTTTGCTGGGGATGGGGACTCAGACCGCCTGGGCTGGCTTCCCATCCCCAGCACTTGATCACGCCGCTGGGCTGCTTCCTGGGGCCGGTGTGATCAAGCGGATGGGGATG